ATGCCACACGCGGACGAAGGAAGTATACAGGGCATTTTCTTAAAAAGAGAGGCTCTTATTATGTCACGCAGTGACCAGTCATTACTGGCAAAAATCAGGACCAGTCACTTCTCTGGGCTGTGGGCCTACAAAAATAGAATAGACAGAACATCGGACCCAACCTGTCTATTGTGCAGCGAGGAGCTCCAAGATTTGGAGCACTGCGTGACTAGTTTTTATTCCAAGTAGGCCCGGTGGTGGCATCTCTTCGGGGGGGGGGATTCAGGGAGGTTGGACTGCCTCATCCGCTACCCAAGGGAGGCCGTGGCCCTGGCGAAGAGCACGCTCTTCGGGGCTCCAAACATTTCGTACGGATAGGCTACCACACACACACACACACACAACAAGAAGTGAGATCACAGTGAACAATATTTATTTAAAACAAGTCTTGAGTCATCTGAAACTAAATGAGAGTTTATACATTACAGCTGACAATAAGGTACATATGGTGCCAGTTTGGGAATGAAATTGTTCGTTAATCTGGACGGTCGAGAACAGGAAATCAAACAGACAGCTGTTTACCTTGTAAAGTCATGTAGGATACGGACATGCTTCTTATCTGCAGTTTCTAATTCTTTGCCATATCGACAGACCGAAGGGCTAGAACCCAAATGGCCGCTGGATCGGAAAAGTAAAGTAAAGTAAAGTATCTGCAGTTTCAAGAAATGAAAATCATCACAGTTTTGCTTAATGAGAAATGTCTTGCCAGATGAACCCAATAAAGACTAGACCGACCCCCCCCCCCGGCCATGGACAGCTAGAGACAAAAACAACAACTTGGAAACTCTTTTTAATGTTATTAGCACAACCTCTAAGGAAAGGACAGTCTTATGTACACTTGATATCACATTAACACTTTTTTCTGTGTTAGGAACGATGAAAGGAAAAAAATGAAAAGCCCTAATGAACAAAACAGCATGAGAATCGTAGATCAATTGTACTTGGAAGTCAGAATGCAACTACACATACAAGTACGAGTTGCAATTTCTTCCCAAACGTTTATTTATGCTAATCTCCCCAGGCATGGATAAAAATGACAAAAAAGCCAGCTAAACCTCCGAAATAAAAATTTCCTACTTTTAAAAAATGTATGACATTTAACACTTTGCTGTGACATCTCGCCGACCCGCGATGTTTAGCACCCAGTTTCTTTGGATTTTCCCCAAAACGCCTTAGCCTTTGATGGCAAGGGATTTTACTATGTGAGCCTTGTGATGGCAAAGTGTTAATTCTGTTCTGAATCTCACGAGTGTACGTTAAATTTCTAGTATGACAAATATAACATCTCTTTCGTTTTATCATTTATTTATTATAAGAAAAGGAAATCCCCAAAAACAGAAAATCCTCCACCACTTCGCACTGCATCTAGAATTAAGTCGTGAAATCAGTCCCCCCATCTTGTTCCAACGGTCGAGTCAAGGAGCCAGACCAGAAGTGGTTGCGCCGAGCCAAGTGAGCGGCTACTTCCTGTCAGCGGGACTGTGTCTCAGTAGAGTCGGGAGGTGCATCACGCCATGTCCGGCCCACCAAACTGATTTCTTTCAAACTCGGGTTCCTGTCGGAGCACACAATATCAAAGTAGGCAAATGTTTTTTTTGTTTTACTAGAACTTTTACATCGCTCGCAACTATATAAGATCGTCATAAGAGCGCCAGAAGAGTAGAGGCGTTACAAGAGAGTAACAAACAGAAAAAAGAAGGAGGAGGGGAGATAAGGACGACAGACATTTGATAGGAAAGAAGAAGCAAACCACACCAGAGCACACGCAAACCACCCACAGGCAAATGTTGATGTAGCTAATAATGTATAAATGTAAA